AAGGATCTAACCACAATTTGGGTTACCAAACGATCTCCAATTGTGACATAATGTTTATAATCGAATCGAACGGCTCGATGAGATGAATCCAACGAGCCCAAGATCATCAAATTCTGATATCATTAAGACACTCAAAGGTCTATTGAATGGTGCATGATCGTAAGAATCAAGATCGGCCGTCCATCCAAACCACTCCAAATTTACCCTTGATCTTCCACTTATTTATAAGTCATGTCACTCAAGAATTCTATAAATAAAGCGGGGGAAGAAGCCAAGAGAGAAGAAGGAAGAGAATGAAGAAAGCTCCAGCTGCCTAGCTCCTCCTCGACCACCGAAGTGCCACTGCCGATCCACCGCCTGATGCCCGAATATTCCAGGACGCAACAATATATATATATATATATGAAAACATCTGAAAAATTTATATACACTACAATTAATTTTGATGTGTGTTTGATTAAAGTGAAAAATTATATACACTACACTAAATATATACACTGCCGATCCACCGCCTGGGGCCTAATGCAATTAAAATTATACATTATGTTTGTAAGATTACATAAATTGTCTATTCTCATCAATTGGAGAAGACTATAATACAAAATCAATAATACTAACTTGATAACTTATATATATAGCTAAGATTATTAAAGAAGTAATGGAGGGTGATAGTGATGATAATGGTCAGATGAAGATAGGGTGACAATAATCAAGAGACGATAGTTTGAAGATGAAGGTTGGATGGTGGCAGTTAGACGATGACGATCATGCAATCTACAATGTCAGAGTGAAAAAAAAAAGCAGGTAACAATAGACGAACAATAGGAAACATTGATAGCAATCGTCAGTGTCGATCCTTGGCCGGAGCTCTCACTAACTCTAGGTCTAAGTTTTGTTTCAAGCTCCATACTCTATTTTCAGGTGAGGAATAGGGTATCTTTTTAATATTATTGAGTGAAATTTTAATATATTTAACTTATATTTTTAAAACATTATATTGCATGACACATTGATTTCCTCAATCATAGGTAAATTTTTCAATATTTAAATACCTTCATAATATCAGAATTTAGTGATTTTATGCTTTTTAGATTCATCTAGTCAAATTGCTCAATTTTATTGTAAGCATGCAATACTTAAAAATTATTTGATATTTCAATTAATATTATGAAGTTTCTAATTATGCTTCATGTGTTTATTTTGGCTGATTTAGACTCAAATTAGATAACTTTGAGAATCGTTGGATTTGACTCGTCAAAAAGTTTAGTTCAACTAGAAGTTTATTGAAATTAATAGAATTAAGATGCTATTGAAGTTGATATCGTAAGTTTTTTTTCATTAAGATTTGTGCTTGATTGGTCAATGGGCTTCTAATGATGCATCAATTATTATTATTTGAATGATCGATTAGTTAAAATTTAGTTTAAACCTACATCTGATAAATAAGAGAAATATTAACTGTCAATATTTTAGAGCTCATTCTTATAAGGTGATAAGTTTGTTACAATTATAATGATTAGAATTTATAATGTTACTTTTAATATCACCTTTTTTTTAATCATCTATTTATAAAAATTATAAAATAAAATAAATAGAATGACAATTTTTTATTACAAATAATATTTTAAATTTGCACACAATTAATGTAACCAAACAAGAAAATAAAATTTATAATAAGTGAATCATATTAACAAAATCAAATCATTTTTTAATATTAAATATCAAAACATAAATTTGATGTATGTGATATTTGATCTTGTGAAATTGACAATAATTAAAAAAAAAAAGATTATCAATTAAAGTAAATGATACCTACAATGAAGGCTTCGTAATTGGGACTATTTTTTTATTGCTTCTTAAAATATAATTTTAGTATAAAAATTTAAATTTTTTTTATTAAAATTATGTTTTAAGAAGCAATAAAAAAGCCATCCCAAAACGAAACTTAAAAATTGATGCGTTTGATTAAAGTGAATTTCAACCACACATCAAGCTCCAAGGTAGGTACATGTGACTTTCTAAGTCCTCACCATAGTAAGCACAAAAATTTCAGTTGTTAACAATCTAATTTTGGAAATATATTCACTACATAAGGTTTCTAAGTAGGCCATCAACTCTACTTTTGAATGACTTGTTAATCTAAGGTTTTGTTTAGGACAACTTTCTTACTATTTTGCTCTTTAGCTCTCAACTATTATTTTTATTTGACAACTATTTTTCTTTGCTTTCTTGAAATTTATGTGCTAGAAATCTATTTTTTTATAACAACTTTAAAAAAGTTAATTTCACACCAGCATGCCCATGGGCTCATGAAGGGGCGCGCGCCCCTTCGCCCTTGCGTTTACAATCGGCTATATAATATACTATTATATTATTATTTTCACATCAATGATTACAGTGTCGTCGACCCCTTCTTTATAAAAAATCTAAGAAATTTTGAAAAAAAAAATCTAGAACACCCCCCACCCCCCTCTTACCCATAAATATCTCCCTTGGGCTAGGAAAAGAGCGCACCTCTTCTTTTTCATTTCTTACTCAATTCTTCTTACAATAGAGGTATTAAACTGCCTTGAATAGGCGGTAACCCCTATCAAGTTTCAGTGCCACTCTTTGTATGGAAGAAAAATTTCTTACATTCCATCTCTCTCTCCTCCACATTCCTTCTCACTGTAGAGGCACTCCACTATCTTTGATAGGCAACATCACCTATCAAATTTCACTGCTACTCTTTTGTGTGAAAGTTCTAGTGGGTGATCCTTCCTCCCTTAAATTTCCAATGACTAAAGAAGATCACCAACCCACAACACAAAAAATGGCTCGAAGATATCCTATATGGTGTTCAAGACTAATGACGTTGTGTCCATAATTACTAATGTTTTTTTGATCATTTTTTGTAAGAAGCTTAATTTTCTCAATGATCTTGTGGTAAAGATTTCTAAAAAATATGATCGGGCCTACTTTCCTGCATGATATTTAATTGTTTATAAAATAGTTTACGAGCATGCTTACGATTTCTACCTCCTAAGTTAATTGATATTTCAGTTATATGTGGAGTGAGTTTATCTCAATTTTCATACATGCAATGTCAATCTCCAAGAGATTGATTGTTTTTTTCGTAATCGTGAAGTAGTTTTAACACCATAATGCTTTTCTTAAAGGGTCAATTTATATGTGATACACAACGTCATATTATTTTCAGATATAAATGGTATGACATTCGTGTCCGAGATCCATAAAAAAGTTAGGCAAATGTATTTTCTTAGTGAAAAGTGTCTGAATATTTTGGAGAAGTGAAAAAAATTAAAGAAGTTAACACTCCTATTGTTGGATAAGGGTTATTGTTTATATTGGAGCAGAAAGGCATATTGAAGATTTTTAACACTCCTATTGTTGATATATTATTTACAAGGTACACTATATGGGCAAATATATAGAATAAGGTTATTTATTCAAAGTTGGTTTATCTATTCAAGTAGAGAGGTCTCATGCGACTATGTTAAAACTTAAGACAAAGTTCAGGACATATCTGCCCAAACTTCAAAAGGCACTTTTAAACCATTGGTAAATAATGATGATCCACAACCTTTGTCCATGAAGAAGAATACGAAAAAAGATGAGACTTTAGCCAGTAGCAGTAAAAGTCACAAAGATTATTCTCTTTCAACATTACATATTTTGAGAGATATGTTGAATCATCAATGTATCAGACATCAATGAGTTGATGTCTTGGTGAGCAGCCAATTCTCTTATTCTTCTTTTTGTACATCCATAAATATATATATCTCTTATAGATATCATATTCTTATTTCATCTGCAACAAATGGATCTTGAAGCTGAGTTAACTCAAATCTTAAATGATTAGAACAATGAATTTGCGAAGATTAAATATCTTTAAGGAGAATATAAACAAATATATGAGGAAATATTAAGGAGATGATAGCAGTGGAAGAATAACTAGTAGAATGCAGGATTGAGTTGGCTATAAAATTTGATTTAGACCTATTTAAGTTTGGGTTGGATTGAATTTGGTGTCATTAGGTTCGTCTCCTTAAGATGTTCAATTTGACTATAAAATTGCTGAAATAAAAGTTTGAAGCGTACAGTAATCGATTCATCATAGAATCAGCAATCGGAAGAATGCAAAACCCTGAAACCCTAAAACCCTAGCGCCACCTCCCTTTCCCCTTAGAAAATTCGAAACCAGTTATTTTATGTAACTGTTGTCCAGCTTCACCTCTGCGCTTACCTCTCTACCGCTATGAAAGGTTGAATCACTTCATAGAATGCTCCCGCTGCGCCACCATTTGCTCCGCAATATTCTCCAATCCAGCGTCTTCATGCGCAGCTCCCATCACCTCCTCGAGAAGTTCTCAGGCGGCACGGCTATTATTCCCGTCTTCTCCCACCGCTTCCTCCATTGCCACGCAAACCCATTCGGAAACACCTCTGGGCTTATCTTGTTCCCCCTTAAATACTATGGCTTTCGTTCTTATAGACGGCTTGCCTCCTCTGGACACGGTAAGTTTCTATTTTCTTTCATGGTTTTTGTTTGTTTCACTGCATTTGTTTATGCTTATCGTGCATGCTGTTATGAAGTTCTTATGGAGCCACGTGAAGGTGAGGGAGTCATTGCCAAGAGACTCAAGAAGTTGCATGAGAAGTTGGGGGAGTTAGGAATTGAGTGCGATCCCAATCAAACTGGGCAGTATATGCACAATACATGCCCTCAGGTGGCTATTGCTATGTTATTTCTGTGTTCTATAGTTTTGTTATGATTATCTGTGCATTTAATGGTTTTTGGCTGAAGATGGCCAATAGAATTTATATCATAATTTTAAATGTTGCCCTGCTATTGAATATGCAAAATTGCATATCTTGATTCTGTTCCTATTGTAATTCTCAGGGATGGTGGGCATGCTGCTCATTTGGTTGCACGAGGGTAGAAAGTAATGGCATTATTTTCACCCATTTTGAGCATGAGAATGAAATCATCACTTTTGTGGGATTTTAAATGTGTTTCTTGAGTTCGAAATCCATATTGATCTATAATTATATCTAACAGAATCTTATAAATTCTATAATTCTACTTGAAGCAACCAAATGAGCTCGGCATCAACTTGTATTTGATGAATGCTTCATTTTTTGATGACTTTGCAATAATAAGACATCTAAAACCAGTTTGATATTGCTGCATGTAGTGTGATGGAGGAGCTTCAAAAGAGAAAAGCTTTTCTCTTTTTATTGGTGATGATGGGTTTGTATTTATTTATTTTTTTCTTCTGCTGCGTATGCAGTTCTTGTCATCTTATCGTTTGTTCTAATGTCTGGAATTTAACTTTTACTTCCCTGAATTCTGTCTTAGAAAGATTGCCTTGTGGTCCTGCTTCAGGGCAAAATGTGGTTGGAAGGGCTGTGTGAAGGTATTATTGACAATAGATGCACTAATTTTTGATGCTATATTCACTTCATCCTTTTTATTTCTGGTGAAAAAAACTTATATACATTCTGTGAATGATCACCACAAATTTGCAGACTTCTGAGAACGAAGAGAAATATGTTGTTCTACAAGGCTGTGGTTCTGAAACTTCAGGTGAATCCTTGAAGTGTCAGAAGCTTAGAACAATCTCAGAAGACGATCTTCACTTAGAGCCTTTGTGTCCAGAGGTATTAATCCAGACTATAGTTGACATCGTTACTTTTCAAGGGCATTTTGTCATTTTTTCTTAACATGTAAAATTTTCCGTTATGGTTAAGCCATTTTTCTAGGTGTGTATATAAATGTTCTGGCATTCATAATTATATTAACCTTGTTTTATGGAGATTATTTTGTTTGGAGGGGTGTAAATGTTCCAGCTCATCATTTTTATGATAATCTTGGCATGGTACTGCTGAGATTCTGAACGCGAAGAATGATCCAATCATTGCTATGGAAGTCAATGGAAGATGACTAAAGTAACCATGTGATTTATATGAGACTTGATCACTAGATTACCATGACCGAGAAGTAGATATGAAAGTAGATATTCCTGATTTTTAAGGTGAAAACATAATGATGAATCTATCACCTGAGTTAATGTAGTGGAGCACAACTTTGACTATTGGAAAATTCAATATCGGTGAGCAAAGCTAGTTGCTATTAAATTGAAGGGACATGGATTTATTTGGTGGGAGCATATGTGGTCAATAAACATCATAAGAAGAATCCAAAAATTTTTCTTGGCGAAGATAACGAGTAGTAGCATCTTTGAGACGACGTATTAATATGTACCATTTTAAGCAATGTGATCTTTCAGTAGCTAGAAATGCTTTCACTTTGTCTTGGCGTGCAGGGTGGCATCACAGAACCTAAAAGTAAACCATTTATAGATGTCTTTGTGCATTAAGACATAATTCATACTTAAATAAAATGCTACCGCCTACAACTCACCTAACAACATAATAGCAAGTTGTGTTGACTTATGGTTCCTATATGCAAGTACTTTTATAAATTTTGTTTTATGAATTTTATGTTTAACTCATATTTTATTTTGCGTGAGCAGCAGGCATCAGTGATTTGTGTTTTCCCATCATCATCATCATCATTATTTTATTATGGTTTTGAAAATGTGCACTTTTTGTTTACATTTGAGCGCTTCATCTCTAGGATTTTAAGTATGGTGGAAGTAGATTTAGAATGGTGTTTTTTTTTTAATATTTGACAGTTATGACGTGTAGAGTCTTCTTGTCATGGTTGAAGCCTACTTACATTTAGAATGGTTTAATAATTATTTGTGAAGGAAACAAATAAATTGTTCAGAGGTCTAATTCTAAATTAGGCGAACAAATCCATAGAGAGAACATAGATTCCTAACCTAATCAATTTCATTAACACCTATTCAAGCGACATGAGTAATAGATATTAAGGGGGTTCAAATCAAGAAACTCGTTTTGTGTATCTCATGGAAAATGCTTCAAATGTCGAGGATTTTGTCATGTGCAATGAGAAGGCTAAATAGAATTGTTTACTCCTTCATAGAAATTAATGAGGAAACACTTTGAAGTACCAAAGCAAATCTTCATGATGTCGAAGGGAAGAAATTACATGATGTGATCGTAGATAGCTACTTTTTTTAGGGATCATGAGCTCAACTTGTTGTTGACCCGTAACTATATATAAAAAAAAAATTGCGTGCCTGTGAGGATGTCCGGCCACAAACGAGTCGCATCTCGCCTTACTCTCACACGTCGAAGGCATGGCTCTCACGATCGGCTTGTGTCGCTGAAAGGAGGGAGGAGACGAGGCATTCGCTCTCTTCCGCGATCCCGCTCTCCCTCTCGCCTCGTCGCTGCCCAACTTCGCTCGTTTGATGATGTGCCCTTCCTGCGGATCGACGGTTCCTGAAGGATCGGAAGTTACACATTTTTGATCGGAAGCAACGACGTGAGCTCGTGGCAGCGAAGATAACTCTCCCTTGCGTGCGATCCTTCCCCAGCTCCTTCGTGGCCGTGCGATTTCGCTCCTTCCATGACTTCCCTTCCAGTCGGGACGGAAGTTACGACATTATGATCGGAAGCCATAGCGGGAGCCGCTCGCTATGAAGTTAACGATCTCCCTTTCGTGCGCTGTATCGGCCAAACCTCGTAGCTCCTCTGCCCGATCCCGTCGCCGCCGCTCTGGCTCCGTCTGTGGCTAGACAACTTCACTCTGACGACCTTACTTGTAGGATCGGAAGCTACGACATTTTAATCGGGAGTGACAACAGGAGCTCACTGGTGGTGAAGGTAACTTTCTCCCTTGTCATGCCTTTGCTCGGCCAAGTCCCGCAGGTCTGCCTAACCAGAGAGACAGAGAGAGGGAGAGTTGTATTAATGTTAATGAAAATTAATTTTAGTTTATCCTAATTATAATTATTTTAAACTAATTATAATTATTACAATTAATTATAGTTAATTTTAATTAAATTGTTTTAGTTAAGTTTAATTAATTATATTTAACTTTAATTAAAGTTAAATATAATTAATCATTTTAATTAATCATAACAATTTAATTGTTATATTTAATTATAATTAATTGTAATTAAATATAATTAATAAAAAATAATTATAATTAACTTAAAAAAATTTATGTCCTCCTCTTACCTCGATCCACGAGCCAACAGTCGTCGACGACTCCTCCCCGCCGGGCCCTAAGGTATACGTTTCTAACTTAAATCCCGCCCTCGACGCGCCAGTGGATCCTCTATACGCGCTCTTGTAGCACGGTGGGGGAGAATCCGATGCGACATGTGCGACTAGGCGGGTAAGCCCTATACACGCTCTTGTAGCGTGGTGGGGACGGTCCTCGACCTCGACATCTGCGCCAACGACTGCTATGCAAAGGTATGATGTTCCAAATCCCATTCTCGGCGTTTGCGGCGGACCGGAGAACCACCTATACGTGCTCGTGTAACACGGTGGGAGGGAGCCTGGTGCGACGCATATGGCGAGGTGGGTAAGCCCTATACACGCTCTTGTAGCGTGGTGGGGAGAGCTACTGGTGTTTTGGTACGGGTACTGCTGAAGGCCCCATATTCGCTCTTGTGGGGTGGTGGGATGAAAATTTGTACGGCCGCAGTGTTTAAGGACACCTACCATACACGCTCGAGTAGCGTGGTGGGAAGGCCCTGCTCCCCTACATTTCCCCCAAATGGGGGATATGTCGGGGTGCTGCCGAAATTTTTACTGAAGTACACAAAGCTTGAACAATAAGAAGATCTCATTTGGGCAACAATACAGAGGACTTGTACTTGAACATAAGTGCACTGAACTTGAACTAAATGAGCAGAGGACTTGTACGAAGAACAGATGACTTGTTGAATTTGAACCTGAACAAAATCTAAATGATTAATCAAGGCTCAAACCCAAATAAATAAAATCAAATTGAAATCAAAATGTGGACAAAGGAAATTCGTGCTTGAGCTTGAACTCGAACTTGTAAAACTTTGAGCAGAATTTGAACCTGACTAAATCACATGCAAGGGAACTCAAGTTCAAATGAACTAAATGCAAGAAAGCTCAAACTTAGACAAACTATGAACAATCAAGTTGAACATGTACTCTGAGCTCGTACTTGAACTCGGGCTATACGACATTAAGTGGGGACTTGTAAACTTGATGAATTCAAGTCTGAATGAAAATTAATTTAGATTCAAACATATACAAGGAACAAAGCTTGAATCACACACAAGGGAACTCAAACTACAAGAATATTTGTACGATTAATAGTGACTCAAAGCATGTTACAAGGCTTTAATATATGAACTTCTACGACAATCCCTACAATGCCTGTAGATTGAGAAGGCAATACTGGCATTTGATAGCAGAGGATCCGTTCCTACAAACAAGTGCAAATACATCAAAACTACCACCTGAGATTGGTGAAAGGTGGATGTGATGCAAGGACACTAGATCTTCTACGAGCATTTCCAAAAGGTTGTAGTGGATACAACGGGTCCCAACAAGCAAACACAATCTACTTGTGGATAACAACAGTAGGTATATCACAGGTACAATGAACCACTGTGGGCACAAGTACAGATATTAGCTATGACAGCGGTGATTAAGAGATTCTTGAGTACGTCGGGTATAAGGGCACCCCGGTGTACGAAGAAGGACACGCCCCTGGCGGAATGAAATAGATGTTTGAACAAATTAGAACTAAACTTCCTGGTGTTCTAAAGTCTCTTCTTAGTTCTATACTTAAGAAGAAAACAGCTCTGGTACCCACAAGCACCGGAAATAACAAGTCTACTACATTGAAGATCCTAAAAGGAGTTCTCCCCAAATCAGCTGCCATTGACTCCAAAGTTCAGAAAGACCCTCCCCGGTGAATGAGAAAGGGGGAGTCAACACCAAGACGCACGCCACCGGATCCACAACATTCGTACTAGCTGACAAGAGGCGTGTACAAGTCCTCAAATGAAATGTTGTGCATCCAAATGTCAATTACCTGTACAACTACAATTATCTCAAAATACCCCCTGCACGTGCACTATAATTTGTATACACATAGGTACACTAAAGTGGAAAATAAGATCTCAACCCGCATGGGCCTCAGCGAACGTGTTATTGGTACACACGTGACGTTTAGGGATGCTGCGCGGGTTATTAAATTTAAACTCGATCCTCCTTAACATGTAAAAAAAAGTCGACAGGGTTTAATTATAAAATGTCCCCAAACACCCGCATGGGCCTCGACGAGCGTGTTATTGGTACACACGTGACATCTAGGGATGCTGCGCGGGACCATAAGTGAATTCAAGTTCGAACCAGATCCTTCTATACGGGTCAATAGAAGTCGACAGGGTTCAAACAATCAAACAAATATACGGTTGTGGCGACCGTCATATTTATCTTAATACATTCATATTAGGCTTTCAAGGCCTATAACAATGAGAATTCACTATCAAGGGCATAAAGCCTACGAAATCTGATCCTCTATCGATAATTCGATAGAGTTGACAAGATTCAATCAACAAAAGAGAAATGACCCCGAACACCCTGATGATGGCCGTGTTGAACGAAGATCTCAACCGGAGGGGTTCACAAATATTTTCAAATGCCATCCAAGCTCCACTCAAAATCTCAAAATCCCAAATTCAAAAATATTTAAAATTGAAATCAAACCATCAATCACTCAAAGCAAAACTCATCCACCCTCCGCAATAGTTTGCCAGGGTGGACAAATTAAAATTTACTTCAGTTCACAAAGAGCCAAATGCCTAGTCAAAAATATCACTAGGATCCATTCTCAAACAATCTCTTTTAATAGGACACAATGGAGAAAAAGGATTCATGTAGCCGACCCCACGTAGTGGGATAAAGGCTTGATGTTGTTGTTGTTGTAATAATTATTTGTGAAGGAAACAAATTAATTGTTCAGAGGTGTAATTCTAAATTAGGGGAATAAATCCCTAGAGAGAACATAGATTCCAAACCTTAATCAGTTTCATTACCACCTATTCAAGTGACATGAGTAATATATATTAAGGGGGATCAAATCAAGAAACTCGTTTTGTGTATCTCATGGAAAATGCTTCAAATGTCGAGGATTTTGTCATGTGCAATGAGAAGGCTAAATAGAATTGTTAACTCCATAGAAATTAATGAGGAAACACTTAGGAAACACTTTGAAGTACCAAAGCAAATCTTCATGATGTCGAAGTGGAAGAAATCACATGATGTGATCATAGAGACTTACTTTTTTTAGGGATCATGAGTTCAACTTGTATTGTCCTGTAGTGTTTGATGAGATTTTAAACTGGGGGCCCCTTTCAGGCTTGTTTTCAAACATGAGGTTTCTGTCCCTGGTTTCTATAAAGCTTTTTATGCAAGGTTGAGCAACAGCTGATTTTGATTTGGTTAGGTTCTGTAGTTTGGTAATTAAGTTCGTACATGCTCTTTTTTGGTCGTTACAAAACTTAGACAGGGGCAGTATAAAAAATTAAATCTAACTATGTTATTATTATTTTTTTACTTCTGACAGTTGGAATAATTTCTTTCACCGTTCTTTTTGAATTAAAAATCCCGGGATTGCGATTCTCCATCCATGCCATTGACTTATTTATGGTTTTGTGTGTTATTCAAGCATTGATATGCTCATCTAGATGACGTGCTATTCATGTTTGATTTCACAGTCGTTTTATGTTTATCTATCTGTAAAGAGATCATGGTCATTTATACTTTGGTTTGGCTCAAGTTTGATTAGAATACAATCTACCAATCTTTACTTGAATGAGGACATAGTTGGTTGGATCACCTTGTGAACACCTACTTGATTTCATTCATGCACCTAAAAAAATGATTCAGCTTAATTCTGTTAGCATGTCTTATCAGAATCTGTATGGCATTGGTCTAGAGTGAGGAATTAAGATGGTGATACTTTACAGAAGATTTATGCACACTCTAGTAAGAACTGTTTTGACCTATTAATTAAAATAAAATATCAATATGATGATATGCCATTTACTTTCTTTTTTCATGACATTTAATGTTTCAATTAAAATAGATAGAGCATGGAGGTGGGCTGGGTGGAGCAACTGCCAGATATGTAGCTTGTTCTAGCTTTATACGGAACTACGTGGTCCTGATTCCACACCCCTCGCAATCCCAATCCCAATCCCAATCCCTCACCCCACTCAAAGCCAAACTTTTGAGGCAGATAGCCAGTTATTAAATTTATTTATTTTGACAAGAATTTGGTGACAGTTTTCTAATTGAAACATATAAAACCCTTGTGGAGAGTAGGGCTCATACCAGCTGGTAGGCTGCTTTGCCAATAACCTTATTATTGGATGGATTGTTGTTCAAATGCAATATAATGAGCAAATATGCAATGCTGTGCTTACAGTTTTCTGTATGTCTTGGTTTTTATATAGTTTTTTGTATTATATGTCGGTCCCTTGGACCAAATTCATGTATGATTGATTGTTGAAGGCTATACCAGTTTGTCATGTGTCTTGACCCCAACAATTTCTGGTGATTTGTTTGATCTTTTGCCGATTGGATTAGGCATTCAGCCACTATCTTATTTTACTCTTGGGCTACGTAATAATGCATTTTATTGATGTGATTTTTCTTATCTTAGCTTATTGCCTACTTCAATGCAAGAAGCATATCTGTTCAAACATTACGTAGAAATTTTGTAATGCAGCGGACAAGGGGTAATGAGGTATGGTTTGGTTGTCTACAACATTGTTTAACATCTGTAACTGAAGTACACTAAGTATTCTGTGCAGATTGTAATTGCTTTTACTTACAGAAGGAATAGAAAACTTGTCAGCTGCAACTATCTTGACGTTGAGAAAAATTATTGGCAGGTGCAGTCATCTCAATCATAATTTTGTGTTACATGTTAATCATGCACTTTCAAGTACAGAAGTGCATTCTTTTCATTTTGTGGCCTTTTTGTCTGCCTTTATATTTAGCTTACTTAGGTGCTTTTGCTGTTCTTACCAATTTTTCATGTTGTTTCTTATGTCAGGAGAAGGACACTGAAAGAATATTTTATGGACTTGATGACTTAGTACCTGAAAATGATCTCATTATTGTAATTAATCCATTATGGCCTTCTTCATTGATATAGCTATTTGATTATGTTGTTCATCTCCTATGATCATGCTTTTTTTAGGTTGAAACTGAATTTGATAAGCTTTCTATGGAAGAGGCAGGCTACCGTAATTGTATAAGTATACCAAATGGGAGAGCAGTAAAGGTGTCTGAAAAATTGCCCAGTGAACAGGAGGTCAGGTCCTAATTCTATTAAGACGACCTAGCCTAGCTTCTACATTTTAGATATTTGAGCTATCGTCATTTTTTTTTTAAATTCACATCCGTGAATCTCAAGTTTTTTTAGCCGTCGAACTATTGTAATGTGTAATGCAATGAGGCTAGGTGTGCCGCAAAGCTCGTACTTTACAAGACTAGTTCAAAATTGTATAATCACCTGTTTTTGTATTGGCGACTCACTTTAAAGATATGAGTCGGATGTCATATTATATTTTGTTTCTAGTCAGCATGAAGAGCTTAAGATTTTATGATCTGGAAAGATAATTTACAGCAGCTGACCATTATGTTGGCGGGACCAAAGCAGACCCGCAGAAGCCAGCCTAGGAGTCAAGGCTGGTCCCTTTTGGGTTGTTGTGTTGGACTTGGGAGTTTGTCTGATTGGGTTCAACGCATTTAGAGTTGACCTTTATTTGGATTCTGGGTTCTTATTCTTTTTATATATATTCCTAGATTTTAGACTTTTGAATAAGTCTGTTCATGTAGTTAGGAAGTAGTTATAAAAAAATTAGGAAATGGTATTTTAGATTTTAAAATTTAAGTATATTTCTTCTCTTTGATTTTAGCAAATAGTTAGGATTTGAATTCTGCTTTTTTATTATAAATAGGATTCATTTAATGAAATGAAAGCAGAATTTTTCAAGTTCCAATTATCAGATTTTGAGATTGATCTTTGTTTCTCCCATTCCCCTCTCTCTCTTGCTTTTCCACCCGCAGCCTGCTCTGGAAAACAGCAATTGGATGGCATTTTTTTCTATTTCTATCTCTATCTCTATCTCTATCTATCGGATTGCATCAGAACTGAGGGCCATTGACTCGGGAAAAGCTCGAGCAATCTAGTTGTGTTTTGGGAGGTTATGGATGGCTGAAATCTGTCCAGTCCATGACACTAAGTTTACTGTCTAGACAACATGCTGAATCTTTTCAGAAGGGAACGGCAAAAAATCTATGAGCTTGACAGCTAATATTTTTCAACCTTGCATCTAGGATTTTTGGATCATTTGGCCTAACCTTTGGTTGCTTTATCTATCGAGACTGGGATCATTTTATTGATTGAAGGGCATAGCTATTGCATGTGTGATGGGGACATCAGATCAGCGTGGAAGGTTTATCAGTGACGTGGCCGCCGATCTACGGCCACGATCGAGTCCTTGTATTTCTGAGTCATGATTGTATTTTATTTTATTTATGCATTTTCTTATTTGCTTAGGTGTCGTTATTATTTCCCTTTGTACCCCTTTCATGGGAGTGGTCGCATGTAAGCCCAAAGGGCAAGTTGGTCTTTTATTTTCTTGAGTCTTTGTACCCGGCTATTTATAGCCTCATTTCCTTTGTTTTGAGCTAATGAATGATTGATGATGAAAATTTCCTTCTTGCATGAGCATTGAGAGCTATAGAGTTCTAATGGAGAGAGCTTCCTAGGAGAGGAAGAGGATTCGCGCAATACCCACCAACCTAGATAAGTCGGGTTCGTGGCTTCTTTGTTTAACTCGTTTTCTTCTCTCCCTTTTGTTTCTTCTTTCTTTGTCTTTCTTTTACAACCACTTAGCCACCGGATTTCCTCCTTGTTTGAAACCCCATCCTTTTCTCCCTACCCTCACGGCTTGCCTGAGTGAACTTGAAATTAGTTTTTGAGGATTGAGTTGCTTGCAGAGTCGGCAATAGGAGCAGGCAGAGCACAACTGTTAAATTAACATGAGTTTAGCTGTAAAATTCTGAACTTTTAGATGGAATGGCATGTTCTGAATTTTTAGGCTCAGATTGAAATGAATTAGCATATTAACAAACTAGGTTTGGCTTGAATCTCGGTTTTGTTTCCCGATTGAGCTCGCTCAAGGTCAAAATCCAATGTTTTTGTAGCTTTTAACCATTGTATTTGTGTCAATTACGTTCAGTTGTACATACCTAGAGTAGGTAGGCTGGCATGTAAAATTTATGTAGTTGGGTATGTAAGCATACAGGTTTATGCATATGTGTATTTATATTTCTTTGCATGTTGTATTTATATACCCTATGTACATGGATTTATATTTATTTGTGCGTTCATATGCAGGTAGGTTGTCTATGGGTAGATAGGTTGGTATGCATGTCCATGCACGTGTGTGCTAAAATTTGTGTATCTAAGCCCACTTTTATGTATTTATTTAACATATTTGTATTCCTTTATGCATGTATATAGGTTTAGACTTTGACCGAAAAAGAAAAAAGTGATAACAAGAAATAAAATATATTTTTGGCTCCTATTGAGATCATATTATGATCAATTGAGCCTTCAATTGTCTGGTTGTTAGCAATGGTGAGGTGGCATGATTTTAGCTGCATGATTTGATCTGCTTATTCACACTCTTCTCGCATTAAAGATATGAGTTGGATGTCATATTATATTTTGTTTCTAGTCAGCATGATAATGATAGGAAATACTCGTTTGCACAAGTAAACCTAACCCAAATCAAGCACCTAAGCAAAGAAACTGCTGTCCGCAGCAAGAACACAGCCCAAACAGTGGAAAACGGAGAGAAAACTCAATGGAAATTCGTAGGAAAACAAAGTAAACACTTTTATTTCAATAGTAGATAAAAGCACTTGCAAGATACAATCTTCCTTCAATTCGAGAGGAAGGAAGCACTCTCTACGATCTCCGGCAAAGCCAAGAGCCCAAGAACAAACCTAGATCTCCCAAGAAATTCAAAATCAAGATAAGCCCTAAGACTCACCAAAACTCCTAATTAAAGACAAAGGACAATTACAAACTTCCTAAAACAGCCCCCAACATTCAAAATTTCCCTCCAAACGCACCCAAAACCACGCGGCTCTCCTCTGGTTTCCGCTCAGAACCGCGCTCCCCCTCTATTTTTCCGCCTGTAGTAACAGTGGACCGGTCCGGGCTGGACCGGTCCAGCCGGCTCCTCCTGGGCCGACGTAACAGATAACTTAAGATTTTATGATCTGGACAGATAATTTACAGCAGCTGACCATTATTGTTGGCTGGACCAAAGCAGAGCCGCAGAAGCCAGCCTAGGAGTCAAGGCTAGTCCCTTTTGGGTTGTTATGTTGGACTTGGGAGTTTGTCTGATTGTTTGGTTCAACGCATTTAGAGTTGACTTTTATTTGAATTCTGGGTTCTTATTCTTTTCATATGTATTCCTAGATTTTAGGCTTTTGAATAAGTCTGTTCATGTAGTTAGGAAGTTGTAGGAAATGGTATTTTAGATTTTAAAATTTAAGGATATTTCTTCTCTTTGATTTTAGCAAATGGTTAGGATTTGAATCCTTAATTTTATTATAAATAGGATTCATTTAATGAAATGAAAGCAGAATTTCAAGTTCCAATTATCAGATTTTGAGATTGATCTTTCTTTCTCCCATTCCCCTCTCTCTCTCGCTCCCTTTCCACCCGCAGCCTGCTGGAAAACAGCAATTGGATGGCATTTTTTTCTATCTCTATCTCTATCTCTCGGATTGCATCAGAACTGAGGGCCATTGACTCGGAAAAGCTCGAGCAATCTAGTTTTGTTTTGGGAGGTTACGGATGGCTGAAATCTGTCCAGTCCATGACACTAAGTTTACTGTCTAGACAACATGCTGAATCTTTTCAGAAGGGAACGGCCAAAAATCTATGATCTTGACAGCTAATATTTTTCAACCTTGCATCTAGGATTTTTGGATCATTTAACCTAACCATTGGTTGCTTGATCCATCGAGACTGGGATCATTTTATTGATTAAAGGGCATAGCTATTGCATGAGGTTCAAGATTTCCCTTAATGTGTTATGCAAAATATTAATTTTTTTGTGATGCTACATCCGGTTGAAGTTTAGAAATTCTTAGCTCCTGGACCATATGCTTATCTCTAATCTAATGAATGTTTTCTCTTGCTAAAAGGTGGATTAGTTACTCCATATTTTATTAAGAGTAAATGTTTTTCTTGAACTACAAATTTTTTTTAATTTATTTGAATCTAGGGAAAGTTTTCTGTCCTCTGTAGCCTTTTTCTAAATTGTATTTGAATTCAACCATTTTTAGTTGCCCATTATATGCACCTAAGCCTAATTATTTTTCATCTAACATGCGGTTCAATGTTTATGCATTGCTAGGATGCAAGTTTTCAATACCTATGGAAATGCAAGGAATATTTTGAAAAGGTGGTTACTTTACTCTTAAATAACTCTCAAATGAGTTCATGCTTCCGAAGTTGAATTATCTAAGAGAAATAAGCATAAGTAAATAGGTTTGAAAATACCAGGTGCCCCGTATAATACTAGCAACAAATGCTGATGGTCCTGGGCAAGCACTAGCTGAAGAATTAGCTCGTCGCCTTGGTAAAGAAAGGTCCTTTATCAAAATCCTTTTTGGTGTTATTTGTTTTGCTCTTTTTTGTGACTAATGCTTGCATGCTTGATTTGCGACTTGGCCATGTTTCATATTCTTGCATTTTATTCAAAGTGTCAAATTCTTTTCTGTTTTAAATGTATTAAGTAAAACAGATGCTGGAGGGTTAAATGGCCAAAGAAAAGCACTACCGAGGTTTGCAAAGATGCTAATGAGGTGAGATGCTTCGCTGTTGTGCTACTGTGTTATGTTTTCACCCTGTATTTCTGGGTGGGCTGCCTGCAATCATCTTTTATTTTGCATATTGATTCATACTAACAGATTACTTAACTTGCATGTATTACACATTGAAATGGTGTAATCATTATACTTTCAGTATTGCCCTCCCTTGTGGTCATAAAGTTTTTCTTTAAGTTCTGTCCAGGTGCTAAACATTTTCGGAGAACATGTGCTGAAGGAAGTTATAGATAAAGCGGAAATGTTTCCCATACGGGGTCTATTAAACTTCAGCAACTTTTTCCCTGATATCACTGATTATTATCATTGTATTCAAGGGTTTGAATTGGGTGTCTCAACAGGTTGGAGAGCTCTGGATGATTTGTATAATGTAAGTTCTGTTAAACTTTGTATTTTCAATATTTTTTTTAATTTTGTGCACAAAAACAAAATTTTTTCATATTCTAATTGGCTTTTGCAGTCTATGACTCTATGTTTGGAGCAAGGTATTGGTTAAATCTATTTTTGTCAAATTTAGTAGATCGAAATATGAATTTTTGGGAAAATTCTGTAATTGTAATGGTATACAAGCATTTATTTTATTCATTTAATTTAAGGATTAATTAGTATTCATATGGCATGGTATGTCCACATAGTGGATTGTTGATGGTTCAAAACACGTGTCTTTGCAGTTAATTGAGTTTTGTTAAGCTTTGTTAATGCATATTAATTTCTAGGAAACTATATTTCGGATTTAAAATCATGTTTCTTCCATACGGATTAGTTGATCTCTTTGAACATGTAAATAACATAAGATTAATTTAATTGGTGATACTACATTTCTAAGCATTTTGATCAATGAGTTGTTATTCTTGTTTTTATACATATAGAAGGTTGAGATATTTCTCTTTCATTTATGTTAAAGGTGCAGTAATACCTGAGATTGATTTGTGATTCAAGGGTCTTCTTAGTACTGTTTGTTCGCTCAGGAAAAAAAATGTCGCTACAGAACGAACCCTGCTTGCTCAAGCATAAGGTCCCATCTTCCTCGAGGTAGATTGGATTTTAAATTAACCATATTTCCCTAGATGATTGGCATCAGAGTTTATTTAGTTTTGGGGTTCCACTTTCTATGAGCGCAAGCCCTCATAGTTAAATACCCCTTAAGGATGAATCAAATGTTTAGATGTGCAATAGTTTTAATAGGAAACAAAGTGTTGGAAACAAGGTACTGCTGTAGTACCGTTGTTTTAGCTTAAGTATCATTTTTTTTTGCTTTAGTACTATTGTTTTAGCTTCAATACCTTGTTTCCAGTACCTTGATGATCAGGGGAAATTTGGTTAATTTAAAATCCAATCTACCTCGGGGAAGATGAGACCTTAGGTTTGAGAAAGCAGGATTCATGTCGTTGCGCCATCTTTTCTTGATCGAACACGGTCAATGAGGTCTAGATTGTTGAGTTAATGGAACTTTTTGAAATTTACCGTTTGATTTTAACGAAATAAATTCCAACTTACAGGCTATTTGTTGGCTAAAAAAGGAATGCAGTATAAAAGGAATATTTTGGAGTTGTTTGAATGAGTGTTAAGTAAATGATTGTAAGTTTTTTTATGTTTGGTTTGAAGTGAAATGAATATAGTGTAAAGTCCAAAAATGGTGGTGGTTGGCGAGTGCCAGTGGTGGTGGTCAAAGGCAGCGGTCGGCAATCGATGATGGTGGCGTTGGCCGGCGGCTATAGCGGGCGGTGGGCGGCGGTGGTGGCCGGCGGCAGTCAAGCGAGCTTGCTTGCGGTGTAAAGAATTTTCGCTTAAACTGAGCGAGTTTAGTTTACCTTAAAACAAACTAAAATTATTTACACTAAATTTATTTTACTTTGCATTCCTTTTTCTTCCAACCATATATCAACATTTTTACAACCCTTGCATTTGGAATACTTTACACTTACTTCCAACTTCCAACTTCCAACTAAACAGTCCCTTAGTCTAAAAAGCAAACTGGTCATGGCTGACTAAAATGTTTCCATTATCAAGAATCATTAGTGCAATGCCCTCTGCAGTACCGTTTTGGTAAATTTATGCTTGATTGTGACATGTGGTTGGGGTACCATGAGAAAAATGTTAATTGAATTTCTAATTTACCTTTCTAACTTTTATTTGGAAATAGTTTGAATTTGAATTAAAATTCTGCATGACTGTGCAACTATATTGCTCAAGTATACTTTAATATGCCAGATGAAACCTTATGAACTTCGGATGTTGCCTTCTTCTTGACCATCAGACTCAATACCCTCTTATAAGTTAGACAAATGCAAATGATGGCCAGAACATGGGAAATGAGCCAAAATTCATGGTTATTGGGACTGTTATTTATGCAAAAATGTTTTATGTTATTTTAAGGTTGGTGTTGAACTTTTTCTTTTATTGCATTGTGCAGATTGTACCTGGAGAATTAACTGTCATAACAGGTGTTCCTAATTCTGGCAAGAGTGAGTGGATTGATGCGTTATTGTGCAATATCAATGAAAGATGTGGTTGGACATTTGCTCTCTGTTCTATGGAGAACAAGGTCAGATAAATTACTGTATTGATCTTCCTATTTATTAGTGTGATTTTTGTATGTATATATTTCATTGGTCTTTAGGTTGAAGATCATGCTAGAAAGCTTTTGGAAAAACATATTAAGAAGCCGTTCTTCAATTTAAGGTAAAGTTAGCTAAAATTGGTTCTCATCCTCCTCGGTTAATGTCTGTTAACAGTATATTTCCCCTCCAAAACTTATTTTCAGTCTTTCGTTTATTACATGTCTAGTTCTATCATTTATGCGGCTATAGTTATGGACTTTGATCATTGAGTCGAGTTTGACAGTTGTGAAATAGCTACTAACTAGTATACTATCAGTATATCACCAATAATTTGGTTGATGGGTATTGCCTTTTACCTCCAAAGTTGAGGTTTAAGGTTCAAATTAAAAAAAGAAGAAGAAAAAACTAGTTTGCTGATTCTTTTGAGACGCATCTTCCTATACTTTTTTCTATTTTATTTTATGCTTTTTGAGAAACTTGTTTGTTAATTTGTGTTGCTTGATGTGAAATCTGTTGCTTTCTTGATCATTGTTGCGTTTTATCTTAAATTTTTTAAGTCATCTAGATTTCCAATGCACCATTCCACTCAAAAAGTCTTTGGATAGCATTTGAATCAGTATGATTCTTATGGTTTAGTAAATTTTTTGGACAACTTCCTATTTTA